TTCACTCCGATTTCAGTATCAATTTATTTTCGATTGCCTATTTATGATATTGTTTTCCTATCCAAGTAGGTATTTCTACCTACACGTTCAGAGTTAAAATCTGAACGCACCACACAAACAGACAGTCAGTCATTTGCTAGGCCATCCGAGCCATCAGCACTTTAATTAACTTTCGCTATTGACGCCGACACAAACAAATGAATTTTATTAGCACGTAAAATGTTTATTCATGTAAGCCCCGCCAGAATCAACGCAATTTGGATATATTATATTTCAATTCTTACTACAAACAAAATCGTAAAATCATCGCGATCACCATCGTCATCGTCAACAACAACCATCGTCGAATAAAAAAAGTTTTAATCATTAGCATATTCATTAACGTCTTCATCTACATATTCATTAACATATTCATTAACATATTCATTAATATAAATAACCATAACAATCATCTTTATCGTTAGTATCCATCCATCCATCAATCCATCCATCCATCCATCCATCCATCCATCCATCCATCCGTCCGTCCGTCCATCCATCTATCCATCTATCAACATCGCCATTATCAACTCACCAATACACTAACCTATTCGAACCAGGATTGTTGGTGGTGGTGGGCGCGGGGGTGTTGATCGGGATCACGATGGGAGTCCTCATGCTCCTGGTCATCGTCCTCTTCTACAAAAGGTCATTTATTAATTGCTCATTCTTATACTCAGTTCATCATCATCAATGTCATATCATCATCATTATTTTTATTTGTTATTCGTCCTTACTCATGATCATCATTATCGTCATCCTTTTCATCATGCAAAACATCATCATCATCACCATCACCATCATCATCATCACCATCATTTTGCAAATCATCATCAACATCACCACGCAAATCATCATCATCAGTGTTTTCTTTACTTTTCATGAATAATGTTACCATTGTTGTCATTATTTTTGGAGGCCACGGTGTAGCAACTTTTTATCATCTTCATCATTCTTATCTCAGTTTTAATCTTTTTCCTCTTCTTCCTCTTCCACTTTTTCACTAGGCATAATCACCATTATTGTTATCATCATCATCATTGTTTTGTTTTACAAAATTGTCATCATCACCGCCACAATCATTATGATCCTTTACACCATTAATCACTCTCTAACATTATTATCATCATTCCTGTCATCTTCATCGTCATCACATTTTCACCATTTTTTTCCATTTCATCTTCATCATCACTCTCATCTCCTCCTCCTACTCATCATCATCATCATCGTTCCCGCCACAATCATCATCATCGTCATCACCACAGAAACAAGCGCAGGTACGTACGGAGCCAAACGGCAGATCCGTTGATTCCCAGCTTGTGTTCGCAGCACAGTCACCATCACCACCACCACCAACTTCAACTCCAGCAACACTTGCTTCCACATCAACTAAGTTTGTTGCAGAGCAGTTACAATGCCACCAGCGAATTAATTGACGAGGCCTCGCTGAACAACGACAACAACAACAGCATCTACACAATTTCAACATTCCAACAAAGTTCTCCCCAGCAATACCTCATGCTAGGATCGCACCACCACAACCATCCACTCCCGTGTTACGAGCCTGTCACAGCCAGCAACTACAACGATAACGTTGCAACCACCATACGGTCAACGAGAGCAGTGAGACATCAGCTTCCGAGCAATCAACTTGATCAAACCAATGCGTGCTCACAGCAGCAGCAGCAACAACAACAACAGCCTCATCATCAGCCACTTCAACAACAGCAGCAGCAACACAAACAACAACCAACAAACACGTTGTTCCTGAAAAATATGCAACTCGCACCGAAAGTTGATCGCCGGAAAGTAAAAGAAACAGCAGATACAAATGATTTATCAGAAAATCAAAACAAGACAAACACCTTGAAGAAATCTTTAAAATCATTCCAAAACATTCCAACAACAGGAATCACTCCGCCGCTGACAGGCACAACAACGACAACGTCGCTTTTTAAACCGGCACTCATTTCTTCAATGACAACCTCCATAACAAATAACGAACTCAACGAAAATCTTCTCAACAAAAAAAATACGACATCTTCTCAACCTGAATTTTGTAATTGTTTCGGCATCAATAATTCCATCTGTCAGGACTGCAACCGAATTGCACAAGTTAACACGAGCTCCAAAAACGCAACAACAATCTCGAGAAAGAGCAGCATAAAAACAAATGAAAGCAAAAGTGGCAGCGCAAATGGGCGGGAAACAAATTACTTGTCTAACATTGACCTTTTGGAAAGCAGCAAAGTTGCGTATCATCCGTCCGCTCTTTCCCCCTGTTGTCACTCGCACTCCTGCCATCGATCCTGAACTCTTCGATTACAGATGATTCGTTTCTAACCACATTAAAGACATAATTACTTACAGTTTTTTAGAGTAATTACGTCATTTCAACTTATTGATTCGTTCAAATTTGCATGAATTTTTTGTATAAAATGTTCTGTTGTCTCAATGATTTTTTAAACAAAAGTTAATTTTTTTTACAATAGTTAACCGGAAAAAAATCTGAACATTTTGTAAAAATTATCCTAATACTAATTCTATCAACTAATAAATCAAACAACCGACCAGCAAACCAACAAACCAACCAGCAAACCAACCAACCAAAAAACCTAGCAAACCAACAAACAAATTCGTTTTAAATTTTGTAGGTATACTGTTGTTTTCGTAATGTTTTAAGTTCTGACACTTCTGAACTTTCGACAAACGCGCAACGTGCAGCGCAGAACAACGTGTTAAAGATTTTGGAGTTTTTCATTTTTTGCGGGTTTGTCGAAAAATCCTCTCATTACTTAGTTGCGTATCGTACCTTCTCTATTGCAAAGTTCATACATTTGAGTCAATTTTTAAATTATTCTTTTCCTTTAACAAAAGAATGCGACTTCTGTTTATATGACGATATGTAGGCTATACTTGAAGAGACAGCTAAGTATTTTTATAGCAATTTGAAGATACAAATACAAATTTATACATTTATGTATTCAGATACAAATTTATGTATTCAGTTGTGATTATTCAAAATGTTTGAATTCATTTTCTTAATATTGTTATTAAATCTTCTGCAATAATCTTTTATATACAAGATAAAAATAAAACAGTTCAGCTGTCGTTAAAACGTTAAAAAAATACAGAAAAAAATACACGTTTTTGAGCAAAATAATATAGAATGTATTTTTTAAAAAAATTAAAAAATAAAAATTCAACAAAGAAAGATTAAAATCGTTTAGGGTGGTACAGAAAATTGTTGAAGGAAGGGGTGAGGGAGGAAGCCATAAGAAACCAACTTGTATAACAAAAACACATATGCGACTAGCTGCGAACAGTTACGAAGCTTTAACGGGTTGGACGAGAAAAACTTTATTCAAATTACATATCTGGTTGTCAAAATTTTAACGAAAATTAAAACAGTTCAGCGTTCGTCTGAATCTTAAAATCCAGTGAAACATTATTAATTTAAAATTGGCTCACTTAAACGTAAATTAAATAGTCTGAAAAAAATTCATAATTGATCTAAAGTTGGACGTTCTCGCCATCAGTGAGAGCAGACATTTTTCTTCTGACGATGTATGTCTCAGCCAATCAACACCTGAGGGATACGTATGTTTTGATAAAGGGCAAAGAGGAGTAAGAAATCATGTGACTGGTTTGACATTGCAATGAAATAGAACGATCTACTCGTAAGTTAGAAATGGTTTATCGCCGTACAAAATACAAATCAAACCTTCTTTGCTGGAAAGAAGACACAAAGACACAAACAATTTTTTATCAAGCAATCATTATATTTATTACCAATCGGAATCGCTGATTAACTCAAGGTCTGATAAATCAATACAATTATGGAAGATTTTTGCAAGCGATGTTTTCCGTATTCTAAGCATGGATATAATTATATATATATATATATATATATCCATGCTTATAAGTTTAAAGATCATACCATTGATATTATTAAATAAAAGCAGCAAAGAATAATAGTAAAGTTTTTGGTTACCATAGCAACGTGCCGGACTTATACTTTCAGAACATTATGGAAATTACTTTTTAAATATAGCTCAGCGTTCGTTGAAATATAAAAATATAATTTGTAATTAATAAATTTATTAATAAAAATATTAACTAGTCTACGTAATAAATGTATATTGTAAGACAGAATCATAATCTTCATCACAAAATCAAAATTTAACATGAAAAAGAACATGATTCAACAATAATAAAAAAAACAATCTTCAATGAATTCGTTGGGCATTACTTTGGAGCCTCGCTTGCTTCAGTTTAAAAATGTTGTTAATGATGGACAATTGTATGAGCAAAAGTTGAAAATTATTAACAATGGACCGAAATCAAGAGATCTGCATTTTGTTAGAGGACCCCTTAATAATGTATGTAATAAACTGTATATTATACAGTTTATTATACTCGATATTTATATTCTTTTCTGACAGTTTACACCCATGGATTGATTTATTTTTATAATTTTTGTAGCAATCTATTCATTAGTCATCAGTAGTGCATCGCTGTTCTATTTAATTAATTCAATTTTTGTTATTTATACCTAGGTTCTTACTCTTAAATCACTTTTTAAAGTATTGTGATAGTCATGTCTAAGGCCAAAAGCATTTTACATTTCAACTTTTGCCTATTCTGGACGAATATATGAGACTAGCAAGATTCAATTTTGTCATACAGATGAAGTATAATCACATCATGTTGATAGGCTTGTCAATACATTGCATGATCTAAAATTCAAAACTCAACTAGTGGATTTTGCTTATAATCATTTTATTATGTTGCATTGTTGTGTGTAAATTTTTTTATGAAATAATTTTTTAAATCCTTTTTATTTAAATTTCAGTTTTTCAAATTGGAAACTACAGCCATAAGTCCGGTGAAAGTTGCTGCAGGCCTGGAAATTTTAGGAACAATAAAGTTTTTCTCGAACCTTGACCTTGAAGTGAACTTGTCTGACAGCATTGAAATACAAATTGATGACAAAAAGCATGAAATACCTCTCACTGTGTTTGTTAATTTATTATTTTCAAACTAGTTTAACTATTAGACAAATTTTTTAACTTTGAGCAATCATTTTTAAAATTTAAAGTGAACCACCGAAACCATATTTGGAGTTGAGCTGCAACGAGATAAATTGTGAAATAATTTTAGGAGATGGTGATGTTGTTTGCAAAGATTTTGTCATATTCAACAAAGGTTCACTAGTTGAATTTAATTGTCAGTTTATAGTAGTTATAATCTGTCTTGTATCCTATGTCAAATTACTGCCAAAAATTCCATCCATCCATATTTTCCACGTCAGGGAACCAGGCAGGTTTTTATAAAATAGATGTGCCAACAACGAACGTCAAACATGTAAATGCTCATCCATCCCATGGCTACATCAATCCATCGTGCCAACAAACTGTTTCTGTATGATTACTCTTTATTAATAAAATATGTCTATCATCAGATATAGCTATGCTAAAATTTTCTGTCTGCGATCATCATTTTCATTATCTCCATTCTTTTGTCTATTAGCCCAGAAACAGAAATAATTAAAGATATCATTGTGATAAGATGTTTTAATCCAATGCAAGTTTGTCTCATTAGTACACAAATTATGTGCTCAGATGAAATGCATGTACTACTAACAGTTGAATCAAAAACCTGAGCTGATCAGTTATTGGCCAGATGCTTGAGCTCACATTAAAACTTTTTGTATTCATACATTTTCAAGTTGTTCTTCTTTGTTTAAGACTAAATACACTCCTAAGTTATTGAAGTATTAATATGAAATAAATTTGAAGGTGAGTTTCGTTCCAAATGCTATTGGAGACTTCAATTTCATTATGTGGTTAGTAATTGCAATTGTACTGGAACTCAGTTGTGAATGTTTAACAAATTAGTTGGTATGCGTGCATATTTCAATGACAATAACATCTAAATAACTTAGATTTTATCATATTCGATGTTTTTAACGAGATTTATTAGAATATGTAATTACATTCGTGTATTAATTTATACATGAGTGAATTAATTTTGAATAAAAATCATAATAATCAGAGTTCATCACGATAAACTTTTGACCCGCCACTCACAACCCCATCAGCATACATCTGGAGCAGGGAAACAACAATGTACTACATTACCTTCTGGTTCGTGGTTGCATCATCAACCAACTTATTGAACTATATGGTCCACAGAACACGCCAACCAACCACATTCACTTTAGTGCAACTTATTACAACACAGTTAACGTAATAAAATGCCAGTTACACAACAAGACCAAAGAGTCTGTCAGTTTCGCCATGCTTCTCATGGAAGATGACACCAACACGAACAACAACAACAATAACGAAGGCACGTTGATGAGATCAAGTGGCAGGGCAACGAATGCATGCAAGAAGAATGGAGAGATTATTTATGCAGGCGCAGTCAGCAATTTTAATGTCACCACTGAGGTGCAAAATGGCAAGAACGGCTCCAACACAACTTCTGATCTTATGGTTTAGTTTATAACAATCTCATTTATGAGTTCTCAGGGCGTCAGTAGCGAGCGGATCCAGGAGGAGGTTGGGTGAGCCACGCCAGACCACCAAAGAAGAAAATATCAAAAATTTCATATAGAATATAGTAATACAATAAACGAAAATTAACAAAAAAAGGTGTCATTAATTAAGAATTTTAAAATCATCCGGCACTGAAACGGAATTATGCCGGGGAATATTACCGGAGAAAATAGCAGCAACGCGAAATTATTCTGGATCCGCCGCTCTGGAACTTATTTAAATTTTTTAATGTAGTTATTTCATAGATAAGTATATTACGTAAGCATTTTGATCTGGTGCTCATTATAATTATTATTATTTATTATTATTATTTATTATTATTATAAGAAAATTTGTATAGCGCCTTTTATAGAACTACCTAAAGGCGCTATCAGACATACAAAAAAAAATCATCTGTCAATTCAAGTGACCATTTATAAGTAAATAACTTTCCTTTGATTTGGTTTTTTTCATATAAACAGCATGCCCTAGAAACTTTCGAAGGTAAAAAATTCATGTAGCCGACACACTCAATCAATAGAAAATAACATACAGATCAGACATTATTTAAATGTCAATCCTGAATTTACAGTTGAATCCTGAATGTCAAGGCCGTCTGGAAAGCATGACGTCATTATTGAAAGTTTTTCCAAAGGAGGGCATCATTCCAGCATATTCATCCATTCCATTGACATTCCTTTTTAGTCCAAAGTTATTTCCTTTCTTCTGCTCTTTTTTTATTTTTCATGCAATTTTAACTAATTTTTGTTGTCTTTTTAAACCGCATAATAAGTTTAAAGTAATAAATTGTAATTATTTATTGAACTCTTGATAGGTGGCTGGCAGGCAGTAAGGGGTTCAAATGTTTTCAATTGAGTCCACCTGACAGACATCTTTCCAGCAAGATCGTCTGCCTCGCCTCCATGGTTTCATCATTCTATTCTATCTTTATTTATGTTTTTTATTTATCTATCTATTTTAATGCTAACCCGACAATTAGAAAATAAATTTAGTAAAATAATTTGATTCATTTGAAAGAACAAGGAGGAAGGAAGGTCGTGCCATACCAGTCAGTCAGCAGGTTTAATTCTTTCTCTATTTGCATATTTGTAATATTTCAATCTTTTATTTTAATGTAATTGTTGTTTTCACTCCTTCTATGCCTATAGTAATCTTAAAACAGCATGATATTTCTAAAAAAAAGTGTATTCTTATCAAAGACAATTGATGAAGTAACATTAACATAATAATATTTATACACTAGTCCCTGCTTGTAGGCTAATGAAACATAGCGGTCTATCATTCATGCATTATAACATATCAACTGCCTATGCATATATTGGCACACAACTGCACTGGCGAACTAAGCATGATACTAACAAAACACTGAAACGACGTCTGCGTCTGTGGAGAAAGTGATTCACACCAGCACCAACCCACCCACTCAGCAGACCACCATCGCACTATCATCCATGTTGAAGCCACTTGCACATCCACCATCCTCCAACTTTCTCACGAACAAATCGACCTTGGTTTCTGCTGGGTCAACTGCAAGAAACTGGCAAATTTTTCCATCTACAATTTGTCGCCATGGTTGCAGATCGCCTTCCGCTTTCGACCGTTGGCTCACTTCCATGTTGAACCTTGTGAAGGGGTCATCCCATCGAAAAGTGACATTAAATTTCTGCTCACATTCGCTCCAAAGCAGTCAGGTTCGTGAAATTATGTTAAACAAATTCTCTTCAGATACCTCTTGTGTAATGTTCAGCTGAGATGCATGTCGTCCATTAGGTGGTTACCTCTTGCCATTCTGTAAAAAACTACCTTTCATATTGTCATCTTCCCGTGTTAACCATGAAGCTTTGTCGTTCGTTCGTTATTATTGTTCACTTTTTTTGCGACTCTTAATAATTCAATTCAATACTTCTGGATTAATTAAAGGAAGGCACTGCTGCTGACATTTTTAAATTCATTCAGAAAATATTTTGTTAATTTCCTTAATAATAATTTTTGCTGCACCAAGGCGATTTCGATCCATTCCTAACTATGGACATCATCGGACCGGTACAATGCAAGAATGACAGAGATGGTGGTAGTAACGGTGACGACAAGAGTGATTGTAACAGAATGAAAACTTCTTTGAACATTTCTGAATGCTATAAGGTTTGCTTCATGTTTTCAGTGCTTATTTAGGTTAACGTTCAGCAGATGTTATTGTGCCCACACACTTTCGCGTACGGCATATTAAACATCTCGTGCTACCTATACTTTTATTCAAATTCCTAATCAGTTGGTCCCTTTGAAGTGTTTAGAGTTAAATGAAGTAATAAATTATTTTCGGCTTTGGCAGAAATTCTGCTCGAGAAAAATCAGACTGTTGGGTCAGGCGAAGTATTTGACTCCTGCTAAGATGAAACCTGTCACTAACATTGGTTGGTTGGTGTCGGTGATGTTGGTGATGTGATGATGATTGTTGGATGGGCTGAGTGGTGATGATTATGATGAGGGCAATGTGATGATGACAGATGAAATGATAAAGAGATCGCTGTAAAAATACTTTAAGTTTTTTGTTTCCTTGTTGTATGGTGTGTTTGTGTAAATGATTCAATTAACGTCTGCAGATATGAAAAGTTTGGAGCACATGATGGAACGAATGAAGCCGTATGCAACATCTGCAACCATGTTGCCCATTCAACAAATTCATTCTTCAACATCGTCTGGACCACTCTTCATCAACAACTTCAAATCATTCTACAGAAATCCCAACATGTTATTGCAGACGAGTTATAAAAGAAGTCGAAGTTTGAACGTAATGCCCATCGGCAACGAGGCTGGCAACCAAATCATCTCCAATGATGACACTTTCAAAAAAACTCGCAGTCAAAATTTGACAAACAACAACAACAACAGCAGCAGCAACAACAACAGCAACAACAACAACAGCAACAACAACAGCAGCAACGAAAATATCTCCAATGCCGTTTCTGCTAAGAACAGTTTTCCGCACACTCCCATTGTGAAAAGCAATACCAATCTCAAACTACCTTCGTTAAAAGACAGATTCCAAAGTTTTGCACCATCGGAAAAAAACAAACCTCACCTGTTAGTTTTCGCTAGTATTTCAAGAATTTATACTTCTCCTTTTATTGTTTTTGTGATGTAAGTGTTACCTATTAAAGTGATACATAAGTTGTATGCGTTCTTGTGAAAGAATAACAGAATATTAAAGTGACGATGTAGCACGATTTAAAGTTTGAATTTGAGTGAGGTTTATTGATTGATATTTATTATTTGTTGATAATCTGATGGACAAGTTAATAAACAACGAGTCACGAGACATTTTGTAGTTTTTTTTTAAATTATTCAATTTAAATCCAGAACGTATAAGAATTGCTCTTTATTTGTGCTAAAGAATGAAAAAAATTTAATCACATTTGATGCACTTTTTTCATATACAAATCCATATCATCATCATTATTATCATTATTTTGTGTGTGTGCGCGTGTGCGTGTGTGTGTGTTGGAAGTCTCCCAAATGATCAGACCATTAATTTTCATTACATTGCATGTTTGTTCTCTCTGTAAATAATTTATAAAGCTATTTTTTTTTAAAAAAAACATAGATAAATTAATATCTGTATAATTAATAATATTTTTATATGAATTATAGATAATTAATTTCATGTACAGTGACCAAATAATGGTTAATATTGTAAATAATTTAATTTCATCATTATACAAATGATGATAATAATAATAATAACAAGAGTAAAAATATTAGCAAAAATTTTTTAAATAAATTAAATATATAATTTATTTTTAATTAAAAACCCAATAACTTAACCGATTAATAAGTTAAATCCAGGTGATTAAAATAATAAATAATTAAATTGTATAAATTATAATAGCAAATATAATAATAAAATGATTTTAATAATAATTAATGGCGTTATTACAATATGAGCCATGAATGAATGAGGCATAATTAACTTTGATTAAACTAATTAAGATTGAAATCAGTTGATGTGAAGAGTAAGCCAACATCAAGCTCACACCACAACCAGAACATCAACAATAATGACAACCTCAACAACAACAGCGTCAACAACAACAAAAACAACAGTAATATTTTTATTAATTTATTTTTATTTATGTATGCGTATATGATGAAATATTTATAAAAAAAAATTAAAAGCATGAAAACTGGAAAAATCGTTAAAAAATAATACTAAAAAATGTTGATAAATTCGCAATTGGTAACATTCAGACGGCTCACCCGAGGCGATATCCCCACTAACGATATTGCCCGGAAGTTCTGCTAATGTGAATAACAAGAAGCAGACGAGCATGAACTTGGTCACGAATATTATTGGCGGGAATGTAACTGCAGGTTATTCTAAGACGTTGGCATGCGAGAATGCAGCATACAAACATGGTTGTTCGTTTGAGAAGATGATGAATAAGAAGGTTGTCTCATTTTTTGTGTGTTCGTTTGTTCGTTCGTTCGTTCTTTCTTTCGTTCGTTCGTTTGTTCGTTCGCTCATTTTTAATACTTTTTCAAGTGTGTTTTTCAATTTAGCCATTTTTTAATGTAAGTGTTTGCACTTTAGATTTGAAATTATATAATGATATTAAATTTTATAAAGCCAAAGCAGAAAGCTGTATCAAATCTGGCAAGGAGCGCTGATGGTCTAGGAAGCAGGGCAGATGATGAGTGCTGCAAGTTTCTCAAGCCCTCTAACATCAATTACATCATTTTTGGTTATTAATCTTTGTTGGGATATTGTGATGACGTCACGATGATAACGTCACGTGATGTTGATGAGGATTTATTATTATTTTCGCTGTTTTAATTTTCGTTTTGTTTCAAATGATTATAAATCTTTCATTAGAATGTCAGTAATTCACCAATGTTTATTCATCATCATATAATCATATTTACTGAACTTGTGAATAAACATGCAC